CTTTACAGATGAACCAAATTCGAGGTTATCAGGTCAGTGGAAGAACAAATGTCCAGGAACGCTGATCTAAAGTCATGCCAAATCGTTTCAGATTCTGGCCATGATCCTAAAGAAGAAAAGTCATTTCCTGAACTCGCACGTTTTGTACCTTCTGTTTTCGTTAGTCGGTACTTTGGACGCCACCCGAGAGACAGTCACTATTCCAAGCGTGCAGGCGTTCGAGGACATGTTTTGCGACGTGCTGGTTTGGTCGCAAATTTCCGTTGATCTGCAACGAATGCTTTATGAGCACTTCTATCAGCTGATCACTGACTCCAGGTAATGAATCAGGTTCAATAGCATGTTGCTTAGCAAACGTTCTTTCTGCTTTCTAGTAGTCAGACGGAAAACTTAAACATCATTCGCCAAGTCGGCTTGCTTTCACGCGTGCTTCAGGTACTAGTTTATGACCGAAGGCTGTTATGGGTTACGAAAGACGTGGTATTCAACCTAATCGCGGCAATTTTGCAGCCGATAGCTGACGATCTCTCTTTGCTGAGGTACCGTTCTCAGTCTTTCACTGAATCACCAGCTGCACCGCTCACTGATTCATTAATCTGTTCTTTCACCATTCGTTTATTCGTTGGTCATTCGTTTGCTCATTCATTTATGCGCATTAGCATAATATAAGCATCATTTTAGATTCGGTCACTTTGTCGTTTCGACGTTGTGTCTAAAAGGTATGGACAACGAGACGTGTTTACCTATGGACGTTCGGGATATACAGGTGGAACTTTTCAAACAAGGTACGATAAGAACCTGGTCTCTACGGTTGATGATAATACTGTTTGATACAAAAGTTGGCTCTAATGAGACTTTCGTCACAAATCGTGTTTGTGCCGACAACTGCTGAGTCTTTAAAATATGGTACGATATACACGCAAGTAGAGTTTCGGGAGGATAGGGAAGTTTCTCGAATAATCGTTAAAATTTTATTGAGAGATGCTCATTCGAACCTGCAGTTAAGTAACTTCGTAGTAGCGCATTTGCGCAGTCCTTCTGGAAGATTAATCGACTTAACCCTGAAGTTAAGTTCCTCATGTGACATTGTCATCATTGGCGCGATTCTTGTACCACTATTCTTTTTCCCTCCATTGCTACCTGACAT